CTATCACACAAATCTTCCTTATAACTTTCATTCTTTCTTACCTTCCCCTGTTCCAACAATAAGGGAGCAGGAGATGTTTTTCTTCTTCTGTTTCTCTGCCTATACTCTCCTCTATTGCCTCCCATTTGCATACACTCATTAAATCAAAAATATTGCTGAGTTCCTACTCCCAACAATCTGGCAGAGGGGAGATAGGGAGAGAAGGAAGAATTTATCAGAGCTCTGCTTTGCAGCAGCTTAAGAAAGACAAGAGACACATAAGGAATGTGTGAAAAAGGGTGTCTGGTGGTAGCTGGTGGTTGGTCAAATGACAAAGCAAATGAGAAGGTCAGTAAGCATCTTTTTCTGTGCCCTCTAGACCATGGGACTCCAAATCAACTGGCATGAAACCCACCCTAGGCCTGGCCATCAATTAACTTAATGCTCTTATGTTGTTCCTGCTCTTGCTTCCCCTCCCTCTTGAATTCCAAATGATGCATGACCTCTCCCATTTCCAGCCAAGCTGTTGAGTTCTCTAACTCGAGAGAATTCCACCTCCTTGGGTGACAATCATTGCTCTTTCTCTTCCTATTCACCCTTGCACTGTTCTACTCTTGTCTGCTCCGCTGAGCTCCAGATTCTAAAAATATTATCATGGGGGTCATCCTTCTACACAGAAAAGAGACTTCATATTTTCTTTATCTACAAAGGGGAATCAAGGAACTCAAGCACACAGGGAAAATTTCCTTCACCAGGAGGGTCTTAACAGAAATGTACACAGAAGTATAGACATCTCTATACTAAGAGCACAGGTGAGAGACCAAGGATAGCAAATGCTTGGAGTTGGGAAATAAACACATTTAGAAGCCAAGAGATCAACTTGCCCAACTGGAACAGAAGGTCTTTAGAGATCCTCGGAGAGATCCCTAAAGTGTTAGGTAGGGACTAGCTTATTGAAACAGTAACTAGACGATATTCGTGCTTCAGGAATGTTAGTCCTTCAATATATAGGATGGAATCCAGGGGAAGGTAACATGAGGACCACTTAGGAAGAGTTTACACCCATGTAAAGAAGGAGTTTGTGGAGTGGTATGCCAACAGAGGGGGTGGAAGTGAGGCTTTTAGAAGGCCCAGATCAAAGACTCATCCCTCTCTTGGTGGCGGATGAAGAAGACAAAGTCAGTGGTGACTGAAGCCTGGGACTGGGGTACCTGGGGAGAGAACGGTGTCCTTGGGTGGGTGAGTGGGGTTTGGTCTGATTGTAGGGTTGGGCTTTTGGAGTCAGAAATGACAGCCATCTGTGCTGCGCATGGCACTGGAATTCAGGGGCAGATCTGGAGCCAGTTGTTCTAGGTCTAGCAGTTGACAAAGCAGAGGTAGAAGCTTTGAAGAAGAACATTGAGTGGTAAGTAGAGAACAAAAAATAGCCATTAGGGTGACCCAGTTCTAATGTCAGTTCTGTTTCTCCCACTTACATAATGCTCCCTCAGAAGGTGAGATGAATTCATTTATCTGTTCATCCTCCCATATCTCTCCACGTGCTCACCCATCACTATATCCAACAAGTACTGATTGTCTGTTATGGCCGTTACTACAGTAGACATAATGGACATAGTCAGAGCTTATATATTATTTAACAACCAGCATAAGTCAGGCACCAACAAGTTAGAATGGATGCATGCTGGAGGATGGTGCAGGAGGGTCATTAACCCTTCAGTTCTGGATCAAGGGTCCATGTGGGGGGGATAAGGCATATGGAATTGCAGGGTGTGAAAGATGCTTAGGGATCTGGGACGAAGGAGTTTACCAACCCATGTCCACACTAAGCTATAACAGCTGATTATTACCAGCCTGGGTGCGAGAATGGACAATTTAGACCTGGCCCCTGTATTCAGAGGGCCTATGATCTAGAGAGGCTCCATCCAACATGGCTGGCCCCTGTATTCAGAGGGCCTATGATCTAGAGATGCTCCATCCAACATGGTAGGCTGTTACTACCACATGATGCTGTTTTCACTTAAATTAATTAAAAATAAGTAAGATCACAAACTTAGTCCCTCAGTTGCAGAAGCCACATGTTTGATGGCCATATCTGGCTAGTGGTAAACGTACTGCACAGCACAGATAAAGAATATTCTCAACATCACAGAAAATTCTATTGGATGGCACTGGACTAAAGAAGAAGACAAACATTAGATTAATTTTTGCTCAGTTAAGGAATTAATTATAATTTTGACATAGCACGCCATGAAAGTGTAATCTGACAGGAGACAGAGGTCAAAGGAAGGCTTCCACTGCAAGTTAAACTTAAAAGTTGTTTGGGACTTCCCTGGAGATCCAGTGGTTAAGAATCCACCTTCCAATGCATGGGATGTGGGTTCGATCCCTGGTCAGGGAACTAAGATCCCACATACCGCAGGGCAACTAAGCCTGCACGCCGCAACGACTGAGGCTGTGCGCTCTAGAGCCTGCACACCACAACCGGAGAGAAGCCCGCGTGCCTCAATGAAAATCCCCCGTGCCGCAACTAAGACCCAACGCAGCTGAATAAAACAAACAAACAAAAACAAAACAAAACAAAAACAAACGATGTTGTAGGAAATTACTCTGAGGCTGAAGTCCAACAAATGACCCTACTACCACCAGCCTCCTGCAGCTTTCCTTCTAGACACAGGTCATAAAGGGATGTGGGGAGCTAGAAGCCTACATAGACGTAGGGTCATGTCAGCTAACTCTCTGCGTCACGTACATTGGCCAATCTGTGTCCAAAGGGCTCCACCACAGATGGAACATTCTGGAAACAAAAAATCAACAACACACGATAGCTAAACTTTCGAAGCAGGAAATGGGCATTGATTTTCTGAAGCCAACAGAGACATCAAACCCTGTCTCAGAGCAAGAGAAGATTTTAGCCACAACATCAGTCCAGGTACAGCGTTAGATCTGAGCAAATTCCAACTGCAAAGTCATTGCTCCCCATCAAAGCCCATGAGGGGCTGGAGCAGTTTCCTGACCCCCACGAGGTACCACACATGTGACTGGTGAAGAGGACACAAGGACCAGGCACGTAGCCCAGCGCAGATGTCAGATCATCTGCTTTCCTGGTAACCAAGCAACCTCCCAGAACTCCATCTACGTTCTAGGAGAAGTGACTTGTTGGCCCTGGGAGTTGCTTCTCTGTGCTAGAGAAGCTATGACCACGAGGAAAGCATGGGAATCTATTAGGCACAGAGACTGGGCAACAGCTCTAAATATCCCCAGTGAGGAGGTGTTCCATTTCTTCCTTTTTAATTTTTCAAAAAATTATCAGATATCTGCACACTGGCTTGGAGCAGCAAATTAATGTCTTTTCTCTTCCAACTGCAGTTCTAGATATGGAAATACCATATCCAAAGACAAATTAACATGAGTTCCTTACAACACTCTACTAATTATCTCAGGGACTAGAGCCTCCCCTAGGTTAGAAACATCAGCTCCAATCCAGGAAAGGCACATGGGTTTCTTCCCGAGAGCAGTAGCTTGTATCATGTCCAGAAGGTAAAGAGAAAGGTGGGAGAATCATAGATCATCAGAAAACCCATCCTCAAGACCTTCCTCCCTCTACCCCTCCCCCGTCTGCTCCAGCACCACCGAGGCATCCAGGAGAAGGAAACTACTTGAAACAGGAACAGCTAAAGCAACATGCATATTTAACTTCACACCAAATAGATCTGAACAGACTGCATGCCAAACAGCCCCCTCCTTGTTTCGCTTACAAAATCCCCCAGTTTTCAAGAAATGCTGTAGCCTGAAATTCAAAGGCATTAACGGATAGATGTGGCATGTAGGGAATTAGACATGAAGTTTCCTTTCTTATTGGGAACAAAAGCTGTGGGTCTAATCTCCTGTGTGATACAAGCTTTAGCTGATCAGGGTTACAGGAAATCATTCTGATGTGCCGAGCCGGCGAATACACCATCTTTTTATTTCTTTCCGTCTCCTCCTCCCCAGCTTCCTTCGCATATGCAAATGCCATAGCAATAAGGGGAGTCTTGAAATACCAGTGAGGGTGAAAGAACTCCCTTTGATCAGCCTCTCCCAGGCCTGGAGTCCCACAGCCTCCAATTCTACCTGCCCCTTTATGATATTTGATGTGTCAAATTAGTCACTTCCACTCTCAGAAGTAGAATATGTTAAGAAATTCTGAAACCTATGAAGGAAGCTACATCTTGGAAAAAACTAAATATTTCCTTAAGTTAGTCTTTTAAAATTTTGATATTTATGGTTACGTTATTACAGATTTCTTCCCCAAACAAGTTGCTCGCCAGCAGAACTCCTGGAGAGGAGAGCTGATGGCAGAGACTTTATGGAGATGCAGTGTCACCACTACCCCGAATGCTGGTGTATCAGAAAAAAATAAGAGTTGGAGAAATTGGACAAAATACTGCTAGCTTCACCAAAAATAAAGTCCTTGCGTCCAATAAGACAGGCAGACGGCAGAAACTGCTTACTTGCTAAAAACAAATGAAATTTCCAAAATGTACCCCAGCATCTTAAAGTACAGAATTTCTTTTTTGAAGTAATTTCTATATAGGAGTAATGTATTCTGGCTCAGAAAGAGCAAAATGAACTGTTCTTAAATGCTTCAAGAAATATATGGTCTCACTAACTCCTCTGATTGCTGCCATTTCTTTTGACTTTGCAGGGTCCTATGACTGGGAGAGGGGGACAATGTCTACTGATGAGAAAAATTTAGGGAACAAAAAGAAAACAAAAGCACATTTAATTTAACCACCAGGCAGTAATGGTAGGTTTAACCCATCCACACTCTCAGACATTTTCTCTGTTCTTTTCCGGGGTTCTATCTAGCAAAGCCTCTTCTCATCTCTGAATCCAACGCAGTGGCGCAAAAAAGAAAGACACAGGCAAGCAGCAAAGTGTTTGTGGGAACCCCAGGCCTGCAGAAGAGGCTTTTCATCACAAACAGGATCAAAGCAATGGATGGAATTCTGTAATGACCTTCCAAAAGCGGTAGCACTTACTGAATGTTGAGTCTGATCAAGGAAGCTGTAAGTTCCACTTGCATGAGTTCTTTGAGCAGTTTCCTAGGGAGTAAGAGAAGGGAAGACTTTAGTATTGAGGAATGTATCCTTGAATTGGGTCTGTATCTTTTCTTGTCATAGTAATATCTGGTTAACCTCTAAAATAGGTGCTTGATCATATGGTAAATTTAACAATGACAATGGCGATGATGATAAAAATGATTAACAGCAAATCGTCAAATATATTTTCATAGCATGCTTTCACACTCCAATTAGGAAGGCGTTACTATTTTCTCCACTTCAGAACAGGTAACTGAGACTCGCACAGCTCAAGTAAGTTGAGCAAAGTATGCATACTGTTTGGGGAGCCTGGATTTGAACCTGCGCAGTTGGGCACCGAGTTTAGAACCATTCTGCTATACTCTTGTCTTACACAGTGAGCCCTCTGTCACAGGATGTGTTCAAGGAAAGACGGGAGGTTGATCTTTCAGAGATATTATTGCGGAATCTCCTGAACTGAGTTAGGCAGAATGAAACCAACTCTACATTTCCTTTCAATTCTAGAACTCGAAGATTCTGTAATGCTCAATCCTGTGATAGCTAAGGTTCCAAGTGACTTCATTTAGCAATGAATAAAATTGTGATATAAGGTGTCCCATCAATAATAAATTTTATAAACATGGCTACTATCACCCAATCAGAAGGAGGAAGATTCATTTTTATTAATATTTAAATAAACCAAATATCACCTGAGCTGCAAATGGCCATTATAATATCATATAACTCAGTGAGTAGGGGGAAAGGTCATCTTCAACCAGAAAAATCAAGATTTACTAATAGAGGGACTTCGCTGGTGGTGCAGTGGTTAAAAATCCACCTGCCAATGCAGGGAACACGGGTTCAAGCCCTGGTCCAGGAAGATCCCACACACCGCGGAGCAACTAAGCCTGTGCGCCACAACTACTGAGCCTGCGCTCTAGAGCCTGTGAGCCACAACTACTGAAGCCCGCGTGCCTAGAGCCCGTGCTCCGCAACAAGAGAAGCCACCACAGTGAGAAGCCCGTGTACCACAACGACGAGTAGCCCCCGCTCGCCACAACTACAGAAAGCCTGCACACAGCAACGAAGACCCAATGCAGCCAAAAAGAAATTAATTAATTAAAAAAAAAAGATTTACTAATAAATCTGAAAGATGTATACGGCACCTTGCACCAACGAGAGTTGGCCCTGACTTGCTTCCTCTCTGGAAGAAACTTAAGTAGCAGAGGTGGGACTGGTTTTCGGTGTTCTAGAATCCTGATCCAGTGCTCTTTCGATACTCCTGTAAAGTAGGGTTATAACTTATACCCAGACTCAATGCAATTCACAAGTTTCAGAGCTCAGTTATAAACATGATTGGCAGATACATGTTTAAAAAATACTCTTCCCCTTTTTAAGATGCACGATTTTTTTTTAAACTTCACTAGCACTGGTGTTGATAAATTAGAATATCTGATAACATCAAGAGGTTCCAAAATACTGGAAAGAGAGAGACCAGTGGCTGGAGAGGCCTGAGGGCATAGACAGCTATGAAGCTTGAGGATGGTGGTAACAGTGCTTATCCATCTGTAACCAAGCAGGACCCTATGGGGCCTTCCCAGGATAGACCCCCACCATGTCCTCTGCCTGCTTCTTGTTTGTAGAAAAGCTCTAGTCTTCCAGGTCTCCCCTGAGTCACAAAAGCTTGGCTTAAGAATTAATGTTTGAAAGGTTGTAAACATGTTGGGACAAAAGTAGAGTTGGGCCAGGAGAACTAGAAACAATTTAAACAGTAAATCAATCATATAGCAGTCACAGAATCTTTAGTTCCTCCCTGGAGTACCTAGATAATAGTATCTGATGCCCATTCCCGAGTTGTTTTACAGGTACTAAAACCCCCAACAAATGGACAAAGTTAACTACATGATGACCATGAGTATGTAACCCCCAGACCTGCTGGAGCCTGAGAATTGATAATGTTAACCCCTGTGACACCACCCTGTTACCCCAACATCAAGCAATCAGAGAACTGTGCATAAGCTGATCACACACCCTGCGACTTCCCTCCCTCATCTTGCCCTTAAAAACTCTTCCCTGAAATCCATAAGGGGAGTTAGGGTTTTTTGAGCATTAGCTGCCCTCCTTGTCTGGTGCCCACAGTGAATGCGGTACTTCCCTTCACCACAGCCTAGTGTCAGTAGATTGGCTTTACTGTGAGAGGAAGAATGGACCAAAGTTTGATTCAGTGACACATCCATCCATCCAAGCACCTTCCATCCTTCTTTCCTTCATTCAATCCATCCTTCCTTCCTTCCTTCCATCCATCCACATCTCCACTACCTACTAGCTTTGTGACCACAGATAAGTCACTTAACCTTTCTTTGTCTCAGTAAAATGGGAATAAACATAGTACCTACCTCAATGGATAGAGGTGAGTATTAAAAGTTAACAGTTGGGGGCTTCCCTGGTGGTGCAGTGGTTAAGAATCCACCTGCCAATGCAGGGGACAGGGGTTCGATCCCTGGCCCGGGAAGATCCCACATGCTATGGAGCAACTAAGCCCATGCGCCAAAACTACTGAGCCTGCACTCCAAAGCCCGTGAGCCACAGCTACTGAGTCCGCGTGCCACAACTACTGAGGCCCACATGCCTAGAGCCCGTGCTCCACAACAAGAGAGGCCACAACAGTGAGATGCCCATGCACCACAACAAAGAGTAGCCCCTGCTCGCCGCAACTAGAGAAAGCCTGTGCACAGCAACAAAGACCCAACACAGCCAAAAATAAAAAACAAATAAATAAATAAATTTATTTTTTAAAAAAGTTAATATTTGTAAGGTGCTTAGCACTGTGCCTGGTACAAAGTCGATGCCATTTAAAATTTTATTATTATTTATTAAGTCTTTTTTAATGCCTAACACTGTCCTCCTGATGCCTACAGTCTACTGGGGAGACAGATCTCGGTCAGGGACGCTGGGGGAGGCCTTGCCAAGGAACTGGCAGTGGGGTTGAGATCTTAATGATGAGAAGAATGCAACCAGAAGAAGTGGAAAGAAGAGTTAGGACAGTTAGGAAATGAATAGTCAAACTATATGGTTATCTTCTATAAATTCATAGTATGCCTCAGCTGGAGAATTATCTGTGCCCTAATAATAGAAATAGCAGTAGTAGTAGATCCTAGGTAGACTGATCATATATCCATAGATATACTTTTTTTTTCTTTTTTTTTTGCGGTACGCGGGCCTCTCACTGCTGTGGCCTCTCCCGTTGCGGAGCACAGGCTCAGCGGCTATGGCTCACGGGCCCAGCCGCTCCGCGGCATGTGGGATCTTCCCGGACTGGGGCACGGACCCGTGTCCCCTGCATCGGCAGGTAGACTCTCAACCACTGTGCCACGAGGGAAGCCCCATAGATATACTTATTATAGGTCCTACGATCAAGTTCAACCTTCTTAACCCCTGCCCCTCCTCTCCAGTTGTTTCCTCCATCCCCTAAGACACTCACTCACATTGAAGATCCTGCTAAATTGAACTACTTTGAAAGACACGTAGCACTATACACCTCCAACCCTTTGGCCACATCTTCCTTCCAGAGCTCCCCATCACCTGGCCCAATTTGAACTCATTCTTCAAGGTCCACCCAAATGTAAACTTCTCTCTGTAACTTTCATTGACCCATCCAGCTGGACTGATTTTTTTCCAGGTGTCCCATGGCCTTTTGCACATTCCTCTATCTGAACAAGAATCATACACTCTCTCTAGCCCACTGCAGCATTGGCCTGTCCAGGCTGTGGACTACTGGAGGGCAAGGGACAATGTTCTATCCAACCCAGTAGCCTTGCCACCTGGCACAGCGCCCAGCCCCTTAGCAGCTGCTCACCACACTGGAAAGCCTAGGAAGCTCGCTGACCCAAAGTGCTACAGCACCAAGGAAGGGCACTGAGCTTTACTCCAGAAAGAAGTTTTCTCTGAGCATCATGGCCTTCTATGGTGCTCCCCTACTTGGTATGCAGGTGATAAGACTAATTTCACATCCATGTCAGCTTCATGCCCACACCTTTGGATCTGTTTTTAATCCAACCTGCAGTTGAAATGAATTTTATACCCCCCCCCCATCCTTTACACTAATAAGAATCTGTCAAATCCTTTAGGTGGATTGTTTTATAAAAACAAAGGCTGAGAGCTATTGTTACAAGGTGAGAACAGAAATGGTCATTAGCAGTGGCACCAGACAGCAAGGAAAATCTAAGGATCTAGAGTTCCAAAGCAGTGATGTCACTTAAAATGAAACAAAACAAAACTAAGATTGTCCTGAGTTTGTAATTACTCTCACAAACTACCTAAAGGGCAATCTGTGACCAGGGAGAGTCTTGGGCCCCAGTGAAATTGGATGGAGCTTTCATGGCACTGAGACTATGCACCAGCTAAAGAGCTGTGAGTGAAGGGGACAGAAAGGACGTCGGAACAAAGTCAGGCAGAGCTGCGCACTCCGCGCACTAGCGGCAGTCACCTCGGCACTCCATCCAAATGGATGCACAGACAGCGAACCAATTACTTCCAAGATGCTGAAGTTGATGACCCCTGGGCAGGCAGTGCGTAGTTTAAGCTTCTAACTCGGACTCTCTCAACAGGGCTGGCTACTGCAACGTTTCTACTTCCATAGAATCGGCAACGCACTGCTTCATGGATTCCTGCACACGGGTGACCGTGATGAGCTGCTGAGATCTCCTGTCTCCACACCTGCCCCTCTCAGCCCCCCACGGAGCAGGCAGAGCAATCTTTCCAAGCTATGAATGCACCCACGTTACTTGATGGTTTCAACCCTAGGTGGATGGCTGCCCATTCCGTTGAGGACAAAGCTCACGCCGGTGGGGGACATAGGCTGACGCCCCACATGGTGTGCTCCTGGCCACAGCCTCAGCCTTGTTTGTTAGTGAGCAGTCACACCCTCCCTCCAGACCCCTTGTGTTACCAGCCCCAGGGACCTGCCAGTTCTGGGTCACATCTTACTCCCCACCAGCCACAGGGATGCTTTGTAGGCTGTGTCT